TTTGTAAGTGAGAAATTATATCAGCTTGGGGATTTCTGTTGGTCGATTCACTGCCGAGACACTTCAATGGAAATTATGTAAAGAAAAAATGCTTAAAAGTAGCTGGAAACTTAACACCATGTAATAAGGAAATTTAATGATATTTTTATAAGATGTATTGTTTAATTTTTAATAAAACTGCACGTTATATTGCAAATCTACATGCTGCACTCAATTTTATATTGCATTTTTGAATATTTTTCATTTTTTTACATACCAATGGTTTTAAAGAAAAAATCTCAAATTTTTTTGCATTTAATAGTTCATAAAAAAAAATCACATAAAAAAATAAATTCAAATTTGCTAACAATGAGGTATAATTTTGAAATATAATAAATAAATGGAATAAGTTTTAAATTTTTTTTTTTTTTTAATTTTTTTCTGCCAAAGTCAAGATATTAATATACTTTGGTCCATATTATATTTTTCGTGGGACTGTTAAGAACTGGAAATAAAAAAAATAATGGCACATTTTCTTTGTCTATACCATTAATAACAAATGAAAATTTCACATGAATTCATAAAACACAGCACTCTCATATAGCTGTTTGCAACTTTGCATTGCATATCCTAAGGCGCAGTTGAATGACGGAAGGGAGCCTTACCGATAACTCATAGTTAAGACTGAGCGAAATAGATTGGTATATTTGCTAATGAAAATGATATCAAACGACGCCATTATGTTGTAGAGATCCTAATTACACATAGTTTAGCACGTATTTACCTATATCGTAAATCGTATTTATATGATTTCAAAACAATTACGCATTTATTTGTTTATATGAATGTTTTACTCACTACAAATTTATGATAAATTAATAATAATGGTATAGTGATAATAAATAGGTATTTCTCATATATAAATAACATATATTTGTATGTATGTATGTATACAAAACTACATAAAAAGTTTAGTATTATTATTATTTTTTTTTTTAATATATTTTTGTATATATTGATAACAACACGCAATCACAAAGTATATCAAGCGTAGAGAACAACCAGTTTTTTTTTTCAAAACAAATCATTTAATTATCTTAATTAACCTTAAATAATTAATTATTATTTAAGCAACAGCATTTAAGTGCCACTGAATATATGTCTGATATGAAAATTAAAATTTCTTCTTAAAAATTCTTTAGCGGGGGGCGGATGTATTCTAAAATTTTTGCTCCCTTTTGCCATTCACAAGGAATTCAAAAATATCAACGAAGGCGAGATATGGCCGAAAATCTCTGAAGCGTGCGGATATAAATGCCAAATGTTAAATATAGTAATTATATATGTATTATTTGTATAGTATATATGTATATATACATATAATGTATTTAATTATATATGATTAAGTATGTGTCACAGGTATAATTTTTACGTAATTTATGTAGGTATGTAGTATGAAATAGGATATGTTTTTCCAGTGGTATCGGACCGTATAAATATGCGCATGTGTATGCAGTGATAATTTCAACGATTTTCTACTGAAAAATATGTATAAGGATATATATTTTGAATTGTGAATAATTATGTATGTTTGCATATGCTCTAGTTGATATTTATGCCGAGTTTAATACGATTCTTATTTTGATCACTTCATATAGAGTTTGTAAAATTTTTTCTCATATTTTTATGCATACTCATCGTGAAACCTATGTCTAAGTAGGTAAAGTTGTATGTTTCATAATTTCACTTTTTTTGTATTATTTTATTCATTTGCTATACTCCAAGCCCAAAAAAAAACGTTATTTTTATATCAAAATGAAATGAATAACATAAGTTTAAAAATTCATGATATCTTCGGAATCCAAGCAGATTAAAACGATTCTTCTTGTATAAATAACGAAATAATTTTACTTCGTTTCGGTGTCATGTTATCGAAACGAAAAGCAATGGTTAATGGGGAAAGCGCAAAAGCTCAGCGTTAACATTAATTTTACCAGGGATGCTTGTTATGATATTAACAGTATAGTTCAAATTTAGCATTTAATAATTTCTGTTAACGATTTAACATCTTCTGTTAACGATTTAACATCATCTGTTAACGATTTAACATCATCTGTTAACAATTTAACATCTTCTGTTAACGATTTAACATCTTCTGTTAACAATTTAACATCACCTGTTAACGATTTAACATATTCTGTTAACAATTTAGCATCTGTTAACGATTTAACATCTTCTGTTAGCGACTTATCATCGCTGAAAGCATTTCGATTAATATGAAATTTATCGTTACCATACAAAACGATTATATAGAGCGTATCGTAAAGAAGCTTTGAGAAGCTGCCTCAGTTAGGCTTCTGCTCTCACTCCTGTCAGCTGCTTCACATGCTGATTCCCGACAATGTTTTTCGTATACAAACTTCAATATTTTATTCAGTTGGTACGACTGCTTGCTCCCAGTGCACTTAAGCCAATAAACCCAATGGGATGAGTTATTTTTTATATTCGTAGCGCTGAAGTGATTTTTGGCCGAGCTCCTTCAATTTGTAGTAAACTAAGCATGTCAGAAATATACAATTTAAATCGGTCGATTTTTAAGAAATCTAGTACGTAGATTGCTATTTGCCAAAATTGACGTTTAAAATACTTTATCCTCCAGGTAGTGGATTGGTCAATCTATTCAAAGAAAAAATATAGTATTTATAGTTTAATTTATTGTACATTGTACAAAGGTAGCTTTGAACCTAATTTAACTACGTGAAGACTCTTTGTTCCAAGAAGTGGTCCTGGAAACCATTCGATGGTTCGGTTTTGCTAAATATATGAAACATAGATGGCTCTTTGCCTGTGACAATGCTTGGATACATTTTTTTCGGCACCGATCTATCTGAAAATATCGTATTTATGTTTCAATTAAGCCTAACTTCGACTCCAGATACATAACTTTAATAGCTTCGAAGTTATCCTAAAGCGTGTAAGGTCTGTCATGTAAGTTTAACCGTAAGTTTTTTTTACAAAAAAAACTAATCATCCGATGGACTTGAAACATTTCTTTTAATCATATTCAGCAAAGGGAACCTAGGACATATCGATAGGATTAAAATTGTACATTTGGCATGGAAAATACCGTCAGATTTGTAAGCTAAATTTGAACATTTTTCTTCAAGACGGAGCTTTTGTTTTTGTTGATTTCTATTTTTTACCTCAATTCTTGGCCACTTTATAATTCATACATTTCTCCTAACGTTTTTTCTGTATTTTTTCATTTCATTTGAGCTAAAGGTCGAAAAGAAAACAGTAAAATCCAAACATGTTCTTTCGGACCCCCAAAGGATAGCGCATATCTCGTCGAAAATTCAAGATATCAGTTTGAAAAAAAATAAGTAAAAATGCCTTATTTATAGACAAATGTACTCTTGATACGGTCAAGCATTAAATGGATAAGATTTTTTTTTGAAAAAATTTCCAAAAATCGCCTTTCTTCTGCTGTCACACGGCAGTAAAGTCTCCTCTAGAATTTTTTTCCATCAATTCTATTGAAAGGGAAGGAATATATTGCGGTAAACGAGATTTTCGGACGTTAATGTGCCATATTTAAACTTCAAAAAACTGTTTTTAGTCGCAAAATATTTTGTTATTTTCCAACGTAGTGATGATTTTTCTGAAGCGGTTACAATCTGAACTTGTGAAACGGTGCCGGTGGTGGAGGTCATGCGATGCAACTGAAACAGTAGAATTTTTTTAATTTTTATGAGTGTCTTTTCTAATGAACTAAGAAAAAATACCGAAGTAACATAATTGGAAAATTCTAAATTTTTTCGTAATTAAAAAAAATCACTTTTTTGGAAAAAAATTCATTTCAAATTGCAAAAAAATAGCTTATATAATACTTTTTTCCAACTTTTTTAGTTCAATTAGAACATAATATAATACTGAAGCTGGATCGCTTCGATTTTTTGTCGATCGGTCGTACTCGTCTGTATATACATATGTATATTCTTTACACTATCAGCGGTACCATTTCCTAAGCTTTGTAAGTTCCGCTTTAAAGTTCTGCCCTAGAAATCGAATCTGTTCCATGCTTAGCCACTATAACTGCTGTAGCTTCTAAAATATGTCGAATTGGCCACTGAAATTTTGAATAAAAATTCTTGAATAGTTTTAGAATAAATTTAAAAAAATTTAGTTTTTGAAGCCTCTAAAGCAGACTACATAGAATTCATTTATTAAGTATGTACGATTAATTTGACCTTTTTTTCTAAACATAACTCATGACAATCTATGTTTTATTTTTGAATTATAAAATAATTATTATTTTCAATTAATCGCCTCTTTCGGCATGGAGTATGCTTTAGACAGGAATGAAACTTAAATAATTGTGACGTAAATATAGTGAGTATGAGTTTCGGTGGCTAATTTTTTTGGTCTTATTTTATTTAATTTTTTTTTTTTCAAGGAATTCGTTTATGTCAGCGTTAAATATACATACATATATGCAAGTATTCTTAGTATGCATATATTCGTATGTATTTATTTAGTATTTAGTTGAATTTTTAATATTTTTTATATTTTCTTCAGTGATGACTGTAGCTAAATTATGCTCAACATTGTTATTGTCTTTAAATTTTTTTAAATATAATACTGTATGTATACTTAAATGTATATTTATGTATTTACAAATAGATTTTCTTGCTTAAATTTGGTTTGTATAAACAAGGTTTTTTTGTTTTAAAATTATTGTCTTTATGTCTTATGCTATATATATATATATATATTTTATATACTCTTTGTAGTACATACATATAATTTCATACTTAAATTATTATTGTATAGTTGTAAGTCACCATATCGTTTTTGTTTTTTTTTTTTTGTTTTTTTTTTTTTTTGTTCACCAAAACACCAGCTATGCTCCACCAATGGTTCTCTTGCCTCGCATAATGCTTTATGACTTTATGAAAAAAATTCTAAATATTTATTTCAACTCTTCTTTACTTTAATTTAAACTTTTATTTCATTTGTCTCGACGGTTTTGTAGAATTTTTTTTTTAATATTTTTATTTGTCATATAAGCGAGTTCGTATGTTCAGTTATATTCCCTCGTTCGTTTTTATTTTTGTTACGCACACATTTTGTTCACTTTTTGTCTTTCTTCTGTGCCTGTTTATTCCTCCTCTTCGAGCGATTTCTCGGGCAAACCATATTTTGGACAGCACATACCCTCTGTGCCATCCATATTGAAACAAAATACAGTGCGTTCGATTTCTGTCGGCTCGTGTGGCACAATGCCGTGCACTTCTTTTAGTTCGGCCACTGGGAACCAGGCGGGATCTGAGTCCTCTACGACTTTTATGCCGCAAAGTCTAGAGCGTAAAAAAAATTGAAATATATAATATAATAAAACTATTTAATCATACCTCAATATCGCCACTATTGGTATCCACAGTATTGACGAAAGTATGAGTACAAATGCAATGACAATACACCAATGCGGCCACTCAAGTTTATCTGTCATGCCCTTGGCGGCAATCCAAGCTGGATAGCTGCTGCCCTCTGTGAGCAGTTGATAGAATGAAGCGATCAATATCGTTATCATGGCGCAGGGGGAAAGATATTTCCAACAGATCATCCAATAGAGGCCGGGTCGTGAACCAGTCATCATCTCGATGTCGTCGGAAAACCTGTTTTGAAAATTTAAAATAAATGAAAATACATACTACATAGTATATAAGGGATTTTCCAATAAGAGCTGTTATATAACAAGGGAAAGCTACGCCAGTAATGAAAATGGAACGATACACGCTTTAACGATGCATTGAAAATATTAAAATTCAATAAGAAAATGTTGAAACCCGACAGAGACGGATTGTAAAAAAAACTTTCGGTCATCGTAAAGCTACTTGACGGACCGAAGTAAAGAAATAAGTGAAAAAAGATGGAGCTGTCAATTCCTCCTCTTTGGGCATTCCACAACAAAACGTTATTACATTGTATTTTACATAAAAAAACTTGGGAATTAAAGTTCAAGATCATCAGCAACATTGTGTCTCTGCTATTTTGTTCCTTGAAATGCATGAAAATGATCCGGAATATCATCAAAAAATCATCTTGACTGATGGGGCGGCCACCTAGATGGCTACGTCAATAAGAAAAACTTTCGCATCTGGATCTCGAAAAACCCAAGATTTATTGTTTGACAGCCGCTCCAACCTCAACGTGTAACTATTTGGTGCGGTGTATGGTCCGGCGGAGTCATTGGACCTTACTTCTTCGGAAATGAGGCTGGAGCAACAGTTACGGTGTATGAATTGCGCTATCGAGCGATGATTAATGATTTCTTATGGCCGGAATTGGATGGTATAGATCTAGACAAGTTTTACTTTCAACAAGACGGCGCTATGTGCCCACACAGGCAACGAAACCACAGATATTTTAAGGAAAAAGTTTATTTGCATAACAAAAAACGATTCTTATTGGAAACCCCTGTACTTAGAGATCATCATAACATATGAATTTACCTTCTCACACCGTAGATATAACTGATTGATAAGCACTCAAACAAAGCAATGATCAGCAGTGGAAAGTTTCCGGCAAAGCTGTCCATCAGTTGAAATATATAACTGCCGGCGCCGTTGGCAAAGCACATAGAGATCAAACAGCAGGAAAAGCAGAGACCCTGAAAAGTTAAAATAAATATATATTGTTGTCATTTGGGGTTTTTCTTCACTCACTCCCACAATCCATTCCTTCGGCAGATTTGGAAATAATTTCATATCCACCAGCGAGGTCACAACACCTTCCAAAGTGCCAAATTGAGAGTCAATGCCGAGCGTGAAGAGCATTAAGAAAAAGAGCACAGCCCATATTTGTGCACCTGGAAATTGGTTGATCGCTTCAGTAAATATAATGAAGGCCAAGCCGGTACCCGATGCACTCTGTGCGAATAGAAAGTGTTTAACATTTTTTATTTATTTATTTAATTATTTAAAAACTCACATTCGCCAATTCCTTTTGCAGATCACATACTGGCAAATTTGTTGTTTTATTTTGTGATAACAAACTTTCTCGTTCCTCATTGCAACGATCAAAAGTGGATGTGGCTTTAAAGCCGATCACCGAAAAGACCACAACACCAGCAAACATTGAGGTGCCACAATTCGTGAGCGAAACTAATATGGCATCTCGATAACAATTATTATTGGCAGGATTATAAGAACTGAAGGCAATTAAGCCGCCGAAAGCAAGTCCCAGAGAGAAGAAAATCTGTGTGCCAGCCTCTAACCAAACGACCGGATCGAGCAGCGTTTCCCAACGTGGTGTGAACAGATGTGCGACGCCTTCTGAAGCACCTGTGAGAAAAAGAAGAGATAAAGAAATTATTTGGATGAGCACGTACATAAAGTTTATTAAATAAAAAATCTTGTCAAGTGAAAAAAAAAACAACAAGCCTGAGATGATATATCTCCATTTTAATACCCATCCCCTCAAATGTTTTAAGGCTCAAGATTTGAGGGCAAGAAACTGGAATGTACGGTCTCTTGATTGAGAACGTGTCGCTGCAAATTCAATGTTGGTTTTGTGTTGAGTGAGAGACTTCGTCTTATAGTCCTAGCATCCACAACAAAGCAAAGTTCTTCAACTCAACACGGATTAGCGCATAGACCCAGACGAAAGGGAAGGACGATATGATCAAAGATACTTTCTATAAGCACGTGGACTTGCCCATGAGCGCTGTTCCACTTGAAAAGAAAGTATCTTCGGCACAGCACAGCCTTTAGGACGAAACATGACCAAACGGGCTTAGACTTTACGACTTTCCTGGGATCGAAATATCTCTAAATTTGTAATTCAGAATTCCGGAAGAATAAAATTCTGCAAAATAATTAGAACTGCCACCGGATCGAGAATCACGCAACCAAATCGGCCATATTGTGATAGACGACAGACATGCCTCATTATCTAGACGAATTGCAGTAAGAAGAAAACCGACTGCCCACCTCACAATGATACGATCAAACACAACATGCGTATTGTTGGAATGGATGCCGGGAACTGAAAATGCAAACAAAATGCAGAAGAAGCTGAGTGACATGAAACTAGTCTTGGAATTTACACCATCTTTTCATCGATTTGAAAACAACCTTCGTTGGCAAGAAAATATGCTACCTCAATATCTAAATTGGAAAGACCTCCCCGAGCCGTTCGGTACCCAACGAGGCTTTAAACAGGGTGAGGCTTTCTCGTGTAATGTCGGCAACTCAATGTTGGACAAAATAATCTCAGCACAATTGCTAACGTTCACTGATGATGATACTGATATCACTGACCTTAGTTCTGCTTTCTTCAGATAAGACTAAACAGTAGAGCTAATGGATCTAGTTTTTAACCCGAAATATCTCCCCTGCAAACAAACAGTCAGGGCATTCGCACGATGGCTCCCACGTTACTGTTGACAGTCATAATTTTGAGGTCGTAGATCGGTTCGTCTAACTTGGAGCTAGCATCAACAGCAAAACCAATATCAACCGTGAAATCCAACACAGATTCACTCTGATCACAAAAGGCTACTTTGGACTGAGTAGAATCGAAAGGTAATGTATCTTCTCCCGGACGCTTGTCGTTGCTGTCCTGCTGTATGGTATGGTGCGATGTCAACTTCCGATTAGTCGACACAAGAGATTTTCAATAACATTATTTTGCGGTTGGGAGTATCGCGAAGGATGGAACAATGAACTATGCGACATATTTGGCGGCTTTATATACATATATATATATTGTATATATGTGCGTCTTAATGGAAAAACGAATGGAAAACCTGCAATTCATTCTGAGCCGCCTCCGAACTGCCGTTGAATTTTTTTGAGGAGTTTTTATTTCATCTCAGAAATACACTGAGAGAGCTGTGAGATGTTGGTCGAACCAGTACTCGAAGCCTGACCGTCAAAATGGCAGCACGCAACGCCAACCACTCGGCTAAGGTCGCCATTTACATTGGCAGTTCAGCGAATAAAGAGGCACCGACTAGGTCACGTCCTTCAGGTGGACGAAAAAACTCGACTTCTGCAACTACTCGATGTAGTACCCGCTGGTGGAAACAGAGAAAAAAGAAGGATTCCGTTTGAAAGATCAGTTAGGGCTCGATATGGTTTCACTAGGCTTTTCCACTTTCCACCAGAGGACGAAAAGTAAAACGAATGGAGCGCTGTTGTTGATTCAGCTGTAAGCGTGCTAAGGAAGCTCTAAGTGTGCTATAGGGAAAAATATCGTCACTTACATAGTTACTTCGATGAAGATGAAGGTGTGAAGTGTATTCACCATCGCTCTTAAAGGGATGGAGTTTTCGCTTTTCATCATTCACAACACTTCCTCGCCACACTGAGCAACGCTCTCAGACTCGCATAGAATGCCAAACGGTATTAATAGACAGTTATTTCTCCCATAAAGAAGTTATTGTTTTAAATTAGCGACGCTTCACTTACAACAATTAAAATAATTAAACACTCACCTTTTAATGTTATGCCACGAAAAAAGAATATTATCAGCACCACATATGGAAATATGGCTGTCATATAGACAATTTTACCCGACGACGTTATACCCTGTACCATACAGATGTAAACGAGAAACCATGAAACTATTAATGATATAGCCATGTGATAATTAAAATTCTCGGGCTCATTGACGCTTTCGGAGCACTGAAGTGTGGTGCGATACCAGTAAAATTGGGTAGGGGAAGAGGCCTGTAAGAGAGGAAATCAAATATTTATAAATATTTTAAAAAATAAATGCATTAGTTAATTAGTGGAAATTGTGATTTTAAAGTACTCGTATGCAAAAAAATTTGGATTATTAAGACCCTCTCCTGATTTTGGACAAGAAAATCTATTTTTTTTACCCAAAAAATGAAAGCCATATATTTGTAGAGTATGTGTTTAAATGGATTTTGCAATATGATGAATGTTTTTCAAATGGCAGCTTCTCGAACACACCTGTCTCACGCGCCTCGTTTCAAAAAACTTTGAACGCGTTTTTCTCGAAACCATGATTTCCGATCTAACTTCAAGTCCCGGACTTGATCTAACTGTCTGATTTCTTTTCTCTAAAAACTGTTTTAAAGGACGTATACAGTTTTTTGTACGTCTTGAACCTAAGATTAGCATTAGTAATTAATTATTTATATTTTTTTAATCCAATTGAAGTGAAAAAAGTGGAAAAAAACTTAAATTTATCGTTAAGGGGCACACCTAGTGTAATGGCCTAAAAAAAGGAGATTTTTGTGAATTTTTATTAAAAAAAATACTTTATCAATTATTTCAAAATTTTAAGAATATATTTAAACATATTTCAAAAATATACAGTGAAATTTTTGAAGAAAAAAGTTAAATATTTTCTAAGTTATAGTCGATCTCCAACGGCGCGAAAAAAAAACTTCTTCACTGCTGCAGTGATTCCGGCCTTCTCCGTGGATGAAATCTAAAAAAAATTCTCGGTAAACCCGATAATATTGTCTGTACAATGACCTACGACAATTAAATTGACAATATGGCGGCGTTTTAAAAAAAAATAGTCGAATTTTACCCAAAAGTTTGGTCGTTTTTGGCCTGCCAAAATTCGATTTTTTGATCAGATCAAAAATCGATAGGTCATTGTACGGAGAACTATACATAGAACATGTAAAAAAAAATTCGATTGTGATCGATCATTTGTTTTTGAGTAATCACTGCAGCACATTGGGAAAATGCTGTGTCGAGGAAAACGTGTTTAAAGATAAAAATGATCGTTTTCACTCGTAGCTAATGAGACTCTCTAGCTGCCGAGCGGTTGCTCTTTAAATTGCTATAACTCAAAAACTATTTGAGATATCAATTTGAAATTTTAATATGTTGTTTTAAAAGGTGTGAAAAAAAGATCGATTTTTTTGAAATTTATCGCTAGGTGTGCCCCTTAAAATTGTTTCAATTGAGCTTTAGGATGTAGGAAATTTCATGATCTTCAAGTAATGACAAAAATTTTTGTTTTCAGTCTACTATAACAGGCTGTAGGCTCGAAGTTGTTGGGCCATATTTTTTACGCAGAGGCCTATGGAACGCGCCAATTTGTAGCCGTCTTTTTGAATTTCGACTATTTTTTTTTGTCGTTTTAAAATCTCAAAAAATAAAAAATTTTAATGGTCAAAACCGAAAGTTCGTATGCCCTTTCGTTCTTCCAAAATTAAAAAAAAAATACAAACTTTGCCCGATTTTTGTTCGAAATCAGAGGAGCTTCCGTTTAATGTTTTATATAAAATGTTAAATTTAAATCAAAGAACGATAGTTCTGATGTCTGCTTTAGAGACTTAAAAAAAATGCATTTTTTTAATTATTCAAAAATATGTCTTAAAAAATTTTAATTTAAAATTCGACATACAATATTTTAGAAGCTACAGCAGTTTTAGTGGGCGAGTGTCGAGCCGTTTCAAATGCTCGGGCAGAACTTTGAAACGCGTTTTCTAGAGCTTTCATTTTTACCAATCTTAGAAAACGGTGATAGTTAAAAGAATATATGTATGTCCCATCGAAAAAAAATTTAACTAAAATTGGTGGACAGAAGTAGTATTTAAACTATTTTTTTTTGCACCTTCAAGTGATTTTTTTTTAAAGAACTCTTTTTTTCAAATATCGAAAAAATTTGATATTTTCCAATTTCGTCGTTATATTTTTAGATCATTAGAAGAGACACTCATACAAATTAAAAAAAAAAAATTGATTCGACCATTTCGCATCGCACGACCTCCATCACCGGCAACGTTTCACGAGTTCAAACTGCAGCCACTCCAGAAAACTCATTACAACATTTCAAAATTGGAATATTTTTTTATACTAATTTTTTTTAAGCTTAAATATAGTACATTATTTTTTGAAAATTTCGTTTACCGCAATAATTTGTTTCCCTTTCAAAAAAATTGCTTTTTCGGGTTCTAAACTTCTAACTAGACTACTGCCCCAATCAAAAAAATATATCAATCGATTCGGTTGAAACATTTCGAAATTTGTTTGTTTAATAAATAATAAATAATAAATAATAAATAATAAATAATAAATAATAAATAATAAATAATAAATANTGGAAACGCTGAAATGGGAAGTCTTGCCCCACCCGCCGTATTCCCCAGATGTCGTCCCTTCTAACTTCCACCTATTCCGTTCGATGGCACACGGCCTGGCAGATCAACATTTTCAATCCTTCAAAGAATTGGAAAAATGGATTGCCTAATGGATAGCGTCAAAAGAGGACTCCTTTTTTCGAGCCGGGATCCGAAAATTGCCGGAAAGATGGGAGAAAGTTGTCGCTAGCGAAGGACAATACTTTGAATGATATATCTGTAAGCACTTTTTCGCAATAAAGCTTTTAATTTCGGAAAAAAACGGCGGAAGCTAAGTTGTACACCTGATAAAAATAAAAATTTCATTTCGTATCGATAGCAAGGCGCCGAAACGAAACAAAATCATTTCGTTGATTTCGTTTATTTTTCATATTATGCATTATTTTTCTTATGAGTGAAAAATTTATATGTAAATACTCTTGCGGGTGTCAATATTTCTAAAATAATGCGCCCTTACAGAACCATCAAGTTTTATATATATAATAGGTATGTTATATAATAAATTTACTTACAATCCTTTAAATCATTATTTTTTTATTTCTATCGCTTGCATATGAAGCATGTCTTTTGTTTAAGTGCATACATACATATTATATTTTTCTGTGTGTGTATGTGCGTGTGTTGAATGATACTGCATTGTGTGGCAATAAGAGTTATGATCCAATATGTGTTTAAGTAGTTATATTACATTATCTTCTTCTTACCACACATTCCGGCTCATGGTCATAAGTGTAATTGGCATAGAGGCGTGTGGGGCAATCGGCCCACGGCAAGGGTGACTCAAAACTGTGCAACAGGTATATGAGGCACCAGGCAATTATGGTATTATAATACAGCGCAACTATATAACTGACAACTGCAGATGATATGCCAATGCCACCCAAATAGGGAGAGACCTGTTCGAACGTGAGGGAAAATAGATCAACTTATTTATTTTGCTTATTAAATTTTAGAGTAAAAAAAATTATATATACACGTATATTATACCTGGCTCCATACACCAATAGCACCCTTGCGCAGTCTTTGGCCCACAGCCAATTCTAAATAGAAAATTGGCAAACCTTGTATGCAGAGCATAATGAAATATGGCACAAGAAAGGCACCACCACCATTCTTTTGCGCCAAATATGGAAAACGCCAGACGTTACCCAAGCCGACGGCATAGCTGGACAAAAAAAAAATATAGACAGAAATAATATTTTTTTTATTAATTTTTTTCGTATACATTTACATAATAAATAATTTATATTCTCTAATAATTTTTTTTTTGACATCAAACAAAAAATATAAATGTAAAATATTTAAAACATTTCATTGCCTCACATTTCATCGGAACGCGTCTATATTTTTTTAACATTTTAGGTTAACCTCAGCTGATTATTTGAATCTTCTTCTTCTTAATTGGCATTGTTCACAACCGAGTTAAGCCGAGCTCAGCCCCAATTGAAAATCATGTTACTCCTCCACCTGAACTTTCCTACGAAGTGGAGGTCTTACCCTTACTCAGCTTCTACCAGACCTTACGGCATTGAATACTTTCATCCATCATCCATCCGGAAGACATTAGCTAGTCAGCAATGCCTTTTAATTCGCTGAATTTTACATTGTCGACATATATCGTCTAACATGTTTGCGAGTTCATAATTGTTTTTCTCTCGAAAGCCGCTATCACCGTCTCACCGGCTGTTGTTATCGCGCACGGCTTTGTACCATAACGTGGGTCGTGAATGAAGAGCATAATATTTGTTTGAGAGAGTTTCAAAATTCGTTCGTTTCCAAATCCGTTCTCTTTGCTTTCGTTTCAAATCTGTAGACCGCGGAATTAACTATTTACATAAGCAGTCTCTGGCACCCTTGCTGCGTTATTTTAAAGAAATCTCACAATAAAGAGCCATCTTGTTTGAAACCTGAGGCTGGGACATGATTTCTTTTAGTTTTACGGCATTAAGGAGATTACTACTTAAGGAGCGATTGGATATTGAATCGAATTTGGTTCATTAGTCTGAGAATCATGGCAACGGTGGCTATAAGTTTAATATTCAAGTCGACACTAACCGTAAAACGAAAAAGAGTTAAGTGTATTTTTTCAATCGTGAAAATTATATATTTTCATACACGAAATTTGTACCTTGGATTTTAAGGTAAGTAATCCGATGAACTCGATTCAGCGCAGCGAAGATACGCACCCGCCTCTGTGTATCAAAGAACGCCGAAAAGTTGCAGCCGAACAATTTTCTATTCGACTTACACACCTGCTTTCTGGCAGAACTCATCAGCAAACCAATATAAGGGAGCTGGGGAACGGCATTTCAAACTCCTAAGGACTCGCTGCTACGGAAACAATTGGTTTTCGGCAGTGCCAGAAAAAGAGCTGGTAAGAGAAAACCGACTACCTACCTCACAACCTTACGATCAACCGAAACACGTGCGGGGTTTGTTAGATGCTAAGGGCTGAAGAGGGAGAGAGACGTCTTTGCAGACGAAAAAGAAAGAGGTCGAAATGTGTTAGTACGAGGAGTTTGGGGCGCTAGCCGACAAAGGTAACGCTCGAAAATTTTTTGAAAATATACCTTCGATTAGTTTTATAATCGGAACATATTCATGTAAGAACCAATGGAGAAAACTGGTGACAGAGCATATTTAGTATATGAGGGGAACACTTCTCCAGCCTGCTGAATGGCAATCAATTTTCAACCGATGAATGATGATGGAGAGTTTCGAATAGCGATAGAAAAACAAAGTGGCTGAAGCTTACCGGCTGAGCTTTTTAAACAAGGCAGTGAAGAGCTGACCAGATGCATGCATCAGCTTCTTTGCGAAAAGAGGCTTCTCAAGGTCGGAGCCAATTACAGGAGAATTAGTCTCCTGAATACCGGTCACCTTCAGACCTGGTAAATCCGTCATTGATATTCACCAGATATTCACCATACAACATATCGACATCCTAAGAGTCAGCCTTGTGAGCCTTCGAGAGAAAAGTTTTGCGAACGATTTATGGGCGGGACACCGGGCTACTGATATTATTATTAACAGGACATTGCCTTTCTACATCTCATGCGTAAGTCTCACTGTAGACAACAAATGTAGGAACTGCCATGAAAAAAGGTTATGCATACTTAGAGCAGAAACAGTACAGAATCTTTAATCGGCAATGGTCAAGGAGCTAGAAGGACCACTTAAGTTCTCCACACTGGCAACACAATGGATGTAGCAATTCGTCTATGTGAGACCCAATGGGTTAGCGAGCTTAACCTAACCTATGGCCCGCAGAACATGGAACAGTCAGCTGTATGAGTTTTGCGGTGACATTGACTTAGTTCAGCGAATGAAATAACAGCGGCTACGCTCGCTTGATCAAGTCGTCCGAACAAATGAAGACGCTCCAGCTTTGAAAGTATTCGATGCCGATGGAAGCAGAGGAAAAGGTTGGCTCCACTCCGTTGGAAGGATCAGGTAGAGAGCGACCAGGTTTCACTTGGTATCTTGATCCAACTGCCGCAAAATGCGAAGATTGGCTATAATTGCCAATGAAGATGAAGAAGAAGAAGAATCCGAGAGAGTAGTTGCAACTCCTGAGAACATTTTTTGCTTATAAGTAGTGTGTGAGTTGCTCACTGCAACGTGTAGACTAACCAATATAACAAAAAATTTCCACTCAATATTTCGTATCTCCTTCAGCAAAAATATTTCCAATTCCTTTTATTTAACTGCACTCATCGATGTCAACACCACAACACTGTATACTGTACAAATATATATAAATCTGTGTGTTACTTGCAGAAGTACCATTTCAACTTTATTTTCATGACCCTTCACGCCATCATAATGTTGTTCCACTTCACTTACCCTATTGTTGCGAGTAAAAACATGATTTTATTGTCCCAACTTTCACGTTCCTCCCCTTCCTTTTCGCCCTCTACAATATCCTCTTGTTGCGCCTCAACCGTAGCGGACACTGCTGCAGCCAGTTCTGCTTTTGATTTACTTGTGCTCGCCTCCGCGCCAAAAGCATCTGGTTCCAATTCAGTCGACTCGTCAAAGGCATCGCCGAGAAATGCTTGATTGGTCGCACCATACATGGGTTGATGATGGTGGGTGGTATGATGATGATGATGTGTACCGCTACCATGGTGTTCTTTGGGTACCAAACGACCGCGCATTTCCTAATGAGACCGGAATTATAGGGAGAGAGAGCGAGAGAGTGAGGATAAGAAATGTGTAAAAGTAAACAACAAAGGTGGTTAAGTAATAATAGTTAACTAATTAAATGAGTTTATTAAAAAATTAAAGAAAAATTGGTGGTATAATTCCTTTTTAATATTTGTGTAAATTTTTATCATAAAGTGTCTGAAAGAACGTTTTTCCAAATTTTATTCACTCACCCGCAGTTCCAGTTGGTCAATGCTCTTTTGACTTTTCAATATGATATCCCGCGAACTCTGTCGACGTAAAAGCTGTGCAGTATTCGCCATTTTGATAACTAGTTGTTAAATTTGCTATTTTTACGGTTTTTTTTATTTCAAATTAACGTACGTTGTCTAGTTGTCTAGTTAACGTTGTCTAGTTGATGTTGTCCAATAAAATGCGTTGTTCTAGCGTTTGCTTATTCTTGAATATTATAGATATTTTTTTTTTATTATATATCAATTTGTATATTATTCAGCAACAGTAGAGATAACCTTTTCTCTAAAATATTTAATTTTATGTATATTTTTTAAATTGATTTATTCACTACAGCACGTCACTTTACTTTACTTTTCTTTTTAAATTAAGATCATCAATAGTTTTTCTATAACTCGGTATTAGTTCTTTGTACGATTATTTTTTCTTTTGTTGTATTATACATTTTGTATTCGAGATTCAGGGAATTTCAAGCCCTGCCTGTAAATTGAGCAGAGAGTTGAATGGAAGAAGGTATAATTAGAGAAAAAATAATTATTAATTAACCCAGCTGCGAGTTACGAGGAGTTTTTGTTTAAAAGAAATCTTTTTGTCAAATCCGCTAAAATTTTCATATTAACTTTAAAGTAGCCTAAATGTAGGCAACATTTCAAGATAAATACAAAATATTGCCTACATTTAGGCTGTACAAATACTTTATCAACAAAAATAAACTATTTAATAAAATTAGATTTATCGATCGTTTTTCGTTTTAAGTGTTTTTCATAATGTTGTGATGTTTTTCCAACAATTGGAGGGACCTACCTACCTACCTATATATATATAGGTAGCTCCCTCCATTTGTTGGAAAAACATCAAGATGCAAAACAATATATATATATAAGCTCACAGTAAGGGTGCGCTAAAGTCTAATTGCAGCGTCTGATCATCAGAAGTGCGCCTCCGTCAGTCTTGAATCCAGCGGCTCCCGAGATTTGGTATCCGCTACGTAGAAACCAGTTCCAATGGATAGTATGGAATGCCATCTATGACGCACTAAGGACTATGACTTCGGGGTATCTACCTGGATTGTCCAATACCCTAATTGGAAAAGTTTTGCTGTCCAGCTGTTAAATGTCCTCGCAAGAATTAAGGCTGACAGCACAGCCACTACCAAACGGCTAATGGCTGATCGACTTCGCCGTGCACCGATTTATTGTTGTCTGTAGTACTAGCTTTCCGCACAAGAAAATTTATCAAACTATCGCCCGACCTAAAATCTAAATTTATCATGTTATGATTGACTCCATGTCTACAGTGTTCTAGATGTGCTACGGAAACTGTTGGTTTCTGGTTGGTAAACAGAGTGCTTACCAAAGCAACCGTGCTATCGACAACAACACGTGCGAAGCTAAAGAGGGAAGCAACATGCATTTGCAGACGAAAGAAGAAAGAGACTGAGTATTAGAAGGCAAGCCAGAAACCCCAATCGATGATAATGGAAAAAGCGTTCCCTTACTTGACTATGAGGTTCGAATAGCGATTGAAACTCAAGTGTGTTCTGCCCAATCCATAAAAATGTGGACCTAAGCTCTAATTCTAGAGAGATTAGCCTCCTAAATATCCCACGTAAGGTTTCTACAGAGCGTATTCTATTAAAGACTAAAGCTCACCGTGAACAAGCTGGACCTTATCAAGGCGGCTTTAAACCCGATAAATCCAGCAGCACGAAACACACGTAAACTGACGCTAGACAACAACAGAAGCGCAGACAGAATTGGAAAGGACCTCTCCGACCCGTTCTATACCAAACGATGTTTTAGTCTGGGCGACTCTTTTTTGTGTGATTTCTTTAATTTAATGCTGGAGAAAATAATAAGAGCTGCAGAACTGCATAAACAAGGAACAATGTTTAACAAGAATGTACAACTACTGGCATATGCCGGTGATATTGATATCATCGGTCTTAACAATCGCGTCGTTATTTCTGCCGTATCCAAACATAACGAGTACAAGACAAAATATGTCCTATCATCAAACAAAGAGTCGGCGCACTCACAGCTTAACTTCCACGTTACTGATGACAGTCATTACTTTGGGGTCGTAGATCATTTCGTCTATCTTGGAACCAATATTAACACCAACAAAAATGTCAGCCTTGAAATCCAACGTAGAGTCAGTCTTGCCAACAACCGGTGGTCCCTTGAAGTGTACCTCTGAATAGTAAAGTTTTCTCTCGACGAACCAAAACAAAACTACATTTCGGTTATCGTTTCAATTCTTCTATAAGGACGATACCAACATTTGATGTGTCGCTTTTGGGAGTCTGAGAGTGAAAAGTTTTGCGAATAATTTATGGTATTTTTTGTATTGACTATAACGAATATCGCAGCCGATGGAACGTTGAGCTCTAAGAGTTATATTCTGACATTTATATAGTTCAGCGAATGAAGAAACAGCGGCTAAGCTGCCTAAGTCATGCCATCCGAATGATAAAAGCGCTCCAACTTTAAAAGTATTCGATGCAGTACCCGCTTGTGGAAGCAGAGGAAGGGGAAGACCTCCACTCCATTGGAAGGATCAGATGGACAGAGCGACCAGGTTTCACTTAGTATTTACGACTGGTGCCAAACAGCGATGAGACAAGCTGAATGGCGCGCTATAGTTGAGTTGATACGGCTATAATAGCGTAAGCGCTAACCACGCCAATGAAGAAGAAGGTCCTTATATGCGATATTTCGAAGACTAAGCGGCCGCAGTGGCCGAATGGTTAGCATTGCATACTACCATTCAGAAGGCACGAGTTCAAGTTCCAGTACGAAAGATAATTAAATTCAATAAAAAATTAAGTTAAAGCCTCCAAATGGATTCATGACATGAAATAAAGCTCCTCATAAAAAAAACCATCAGCCGTTCGGAGGCGGCTTAGTATAAACTGTAGGTCTCTCAATTTGTTGGAAAACCATCAAGGTGCAAAACCACAAATTTGAGGAGGAGCTCAGCTGAAAATCGCTTCAGCGGTTACAAAGCACCAATTATATATAGGAGAAGCCGAGCTTCTCCTGCAATTTGTGGTTTTGCGTCTTGATGTTTTTTCCATAAATATATATATATATATATACAGATATCTAAATATATATATAAGCTCACTGTTATTGAATGCAGACTGTGAGGCTCCCCTTTTAGGGTTTAGACAAAGCACATCTGAAAGGTTGGAACCTATTGGACATGCTTTCGTCAGCTAAAAGGCTGATACATGCAACTTGTCAGTTCATCATCGCCACGCTTAAATAACTCTACCGGTAAGCTAGCAGCTTCGAACGCTTCGCTGTTCTTTAATTCAATTTATCAGAAGATTTAAAATCATTCTCAATTTTCATTAATCCTGCCCAACATTTCGCAATTCTTCTATTTGTGTAACAATAATACCAAAATAAAAATTAAAATAAATTAAAACTTAATTAAATTAGATTTTTTGTTCACTGAAAAATTATTGGATTAATTATAAAAAATAGCAAATTAAAAGTACTAATCTTATGACCATATTCAGGTCTGTATATTTTATCAACACATTGCGATCAAAGGTATACAAAAGTTCTACACAGTGATAACGCGCAAGAGCCACCAAAAAAATCCAACTTCTCAGTAAGACTTTCAACTTTAAAAACTACATTACGTATACGCACTGTAGTACCTATAATAATATTGTATATAAAAGTGAATACGTGCACTTTTAAATGACTTGCAACCTTAATTAATAGTAAGCTTTGTATTGAATTTATATGTATAATACACAGGTTCTTATATGCGACACTTGCACAGTCTTCTATATGCTTTATATGTGTGTGTGGCGAATTTCGCAGTAACCATAAAATGGTCCACCACACAATTTTTAGGTTTTCACTTTCACTCGCACACGGATTGAATCTCACATTTTACACTCTTCCGTTTCCGCTATATATTTCGTTTTGTTTTGCTTACACTTTCTCATTTTTATTGTTCTTTTTCTCGCTAGCGCTTTAAACTGAAATCGACCACTGAACGCTTATATAACAAACGCAGCAAGATTACAGACAAAATTCACACTCCCCGTAACAGGTATTCCATTATGTACGAGTATATGCCCACATTGCATATAACATACATACATACATATGTATGTACGGATATTCACATATGTATGTATAATTACCGAAAAAGTGCCCGAAATTTGCGACGGTCAATAAACGAGACAACTTGGCGTTGCGACGGTAGAGGAGTGTTACCGATGAACGAACCAGAATTGTATTAACTTTCCTTGGCCGCACAGCTTGTGCTGTTGGATTTAGTTAACAGTGGATTATAGAGCGCTTCCAACAAAAGTTTATATGGCTTTTTTGAATACCAACCAAAAAACGTCAATTAAGTGGGCGGTGTTGCGCGCCTTTAAATGACGCGACGTTGAACAAGTGAAACGACAACTGACGATGTTTCCTCACAAAACTTATGACGCGCAGAGCCAATTTGGTGACATGAAATGCGTACAAAGAACTGTGCGCTCGATTAACTAACACTACGTCCACTTATAAAGGATAAAGGATGCACTGTACGTTTGTATGCGACCACAATGGAAAACTAATAGTATTTTTAGAGGACATGAACGATGAGTTAACAGTAGGCCTTAATTGATTTGCAATGCACAAAAAGGCACAGCCGACCGTATGAAAAGGCCAAAGCGCTCAGACATACACCCACACACATACAACTTTAGTTGGAAGCAAAATGTTTGCGTAACAGTTTTGGCTTTCACTTTTTCCTTTTCGTTTTCATCAAATAATTATTTCAAATATTTTTATTATTTATCTATTTATTTATTTATTATTTTTTTTTATAATATTTTTTACTTTTTTAAACGTTTTCTTTTTGAAGAAAATTTCCGTTTTGATTATGTGTATAATATCATCTCGATAGGTGGATAGACTGCGTGGTGCGTTAATGGTGAAGGACCAACGGCGGAGACAAGCGAGTGTCACAAAGTAAAAAGCGAGACTGTTAAATGCTTTGTCTGGTTTAACACGACTCAATGCTCAGTACTCGCCTCGCAGGATGTTTGACAGAGCGAGTCAAGTGAAAGCAACGAGTAACTAACAGCAAGCAGGTTAAATGCAAACGGCAAAGCAAGACGATGTTAAAATAACGAGTTTTTGATAAGAAATTTAGTGTGTTCGGCAAGCGAGAGCAGCAATTGGTACCAATTTTTACTGATATGGGCTCGGTCAGGGAAAAAGCCAATCAAATTTTGTGGGAAAATTGCAGTTGAAAACATATGATTTGTGATCAAGAATAATAGAGCTCTGAAATTTTGCATTCACTGTTATAAATCAGCTGTTGCTTTTCTTTTGTCACACTGTCAATTCACGCTTATTACGGTTGAATTTAATATTTCCCCGATTTCTCGTCTCATATGTGGTAGCTGCCACAGTAGCCGAGTGGTTCGCGTTGCGTACTGCCTTCTGTCTTCCGAATACTCGGGCTTAAATCCCCGTGCGATTAACATCCTAAAGTTGTAAACAATTAAGTTAACTTTCCTAATTGCGATCGCCCCTCGACAAGGAATATCAACCCCTCCGAGTGGATTTAGGGCATGAAATAAAGGTGCCTCTTTAAAAAACCATCAGCCGTGCGGAGGCGGCTTAGTATAAACTTTAGAACCCTCCATTTGTTTGAAAAACGTCAAGACGCAAAGCTACAAATTGGAAGAGGAGCTTGTCGGAAAAACGCTTCAGCGGTTACAAACAATTATACATAATTCCGGTCGCCCCTGGCAGGGAATGTCCACCCCTCCGAGTGTATTTTTGATATGAAATAAAAGCGACTCATAAAGATCCAGTGGGGGACTCAGAATAGACTGTAGGTTCCACCATTTGTTGGAAAAATATCAACACAGTAATTGCTGCATGTCAAGATAGCCATCGAAGTCTTCTAAAAAGGGGCCGCAGGAAAATAATTGTTTCAGCGGCTTCAGACCAGAGGATGTTGGATAAGTAGCTTTCAATTGAAGAAGGGGCAAGTAAAATGCAGGGAGTCATCGTCTGTGTTGGATATATCGGAGTCTCGGGTGTATTAAGTTAAGTTTACTACAGTAACCAGTCCTTCGTTGTGTTAATACTACTCGGATCTTGCGAGGTAGTTCGGGCTCTTCGTCTACTAGCCAGGTGCTATGGCCAATTTCGTTATTTCGTCGATCTAATCTCTTTTCAGTCTTCAGTTACAGTCGTCCGATCTTGCTGGTTTCGACGAAGGATTATTACATTACAAAAAAAAATAACTAGCTCAACTCAAAAACTGGCTTCGTTCAAACAAGCAGGCACACAAACAAATGAACATTGCCGGTCATTCTAATCACATCGGTATCAATTTTTTTCTTACAAACTTTAGACATACATACGTTATGAGTAACCTCTCCTAAGGGACATCTCTCTTGAGCGAACAATTTTTCACGCATCAAGTTTTAATGGCGAATCACTCTCACTTAAGTGGACTCTCTGGCGGACAGGAGTAAAAAAGTCAATTTCATGGCAAATGTTATCATCGGAAAAAGATTTCCAGCCGATACTGTGATGAAAAAGGCCGTAGAAAACCATTTTGAAGAGAAATCTAAAGAATATTTTTTCCATGGTATAAAGGCATTGTATTCGCGATGTGAAAGGTGTATTCCACTTGAGGGAGACTATATTGTTTGTTTCATGAAATACTTTTATTTATTATTTGATAGTAAGAAATAATTTTACTTCAATTAAAAGCTTAAAAACTTAAATCAATCCAATATGAATAGGAATGTCTTACAAATAAAAAAAAAACTTTCGACAATATATCTATTGCTTAATTTATCAAAATCCTTTAACATATTTTGATTTCTTTTTAGTTGGTTTCTCTTTTGGCTTGGGTTTTGTAGATATGAACTCTTCTTGTTCAGTCGGTGAGTCAGGCATATTTAAAATTGTATCAACGAGTTGAGTTGATTGCTGTTGCGGCTCAAATTCACTTGTAAATGAATTATTTAGTGCATCAAATGTATCATTAATACAAATAGATGTTTCCATTTTAACAGTCTCATTTATATCGGCATGCGGTGCATGTACTACCGCCATAACTGTAGAGTCGAAGTGTTCGATATATTGTTGACCATTTTCTGGTAATGGTCCACGAATCGGTATTTCGCGCTTATCTTCCGATTTCATATTTTCGTCTAACCAGGAATTAACAATCGTTTCTGGGTCCGGTTTAACGCCTAAACCTTTCTTAATATAGGAGAAAGAAATATCCTTTTTATCATCCTCATAATCAATATCCCAAATTGATAGTAAATCCTGTACTAAGGCATCCTTATAGTTATGTAGTGTTTGAATGCGTTTCTGCCAACGCCCCAAACCACGTCTTTTGGATGGTGTTACTTCCACCTTGCTCTTATCATCTTCATTAAGTATGAAGGGTGTGCTTAGAGTATTGCAGCGAAACACTTTACGCATGGCTGTAAAAAATCATCAATTAATTAATGTATGTATTATAAAAATATTGGATTCATTAACACAAGGAGTACCTTTTAAATTTACAACTTCTGTGCAATTTAAGCTTGGTTGCTTAAATTCACAAACACGTTTCGCATATTCAAACATGCTGTTTTCATCATCGGCTGCAAACATTCTTCTTCTTGTATCTGGCTCTTTCGCCTCCTTTTCTATTAAACGATGAGCATAAACATCCCCAATGGAATTCGATGTGAGCAACAAAGCGAATGTGTCACAATCATCTTCTCCAATACATTCCGAAAACGTTAAGGTGTCGATAAATGACAATCCCGTACTGCAACGTGCTATTCGTGATGGCAGGTCAGCATCGGGTTGTAGGCATTTCCCAGCAAGTCGTGCCTGTTGATATGCTTCCTGTAGTGTTGGTGGTTGATATGGCAAGCAATATGATTTGTAAATGCTCTTTTTAGACTGTCCATTTTCTGGGCTGCCTTTTTCTGTCGCTTCACTGGGAATAATAGCTTCTCCGTCTACGGTTTGCCCCATATGTTGTCGTGACAACTCACAAATAACCATATCATTTGCTAAGGCGCTACTAATGGCTATAAGCTCTACGCCGCCAACACGGAACGTATCAATAAAAGCAGGAGCATATTCTAACTGATGTGTCCAGCGACACACAGCCGCAGAACTTGCTTCGAAATCTCCACCTAAGTAACGCAAATCTAAGCAATGTAATTTATGATTGGTCGCTACATATGCTAAATCACGAAATTCACTTTTTGCAATGGATGATATAAAATCACAGTCATAATCCATGTTTTCTTGAAAGCAACTGGTCTTAAGCCATTCTGCAGGAGTTGTCCGTGTATCTATTACACAAAATTTCCTCTCGTTTGCATATAAATAGGTTTGACTTTGCCAAGGTCTTACCATATTCCAACTTATACGCATGGGATCATTTTTTGGACAGATATCATGTGCAGCGGCAAGTATAGGGTTGGGATTATTAATATCATACACACGAATATTTTGTTTCATTGTGGTAATAATGAATGTACTTGAATCGATTGACGACTGTGCAAAGCTTATGAATGGCGTTGAATTGCTCTTGAATCGCATAAAAGATTTAATATTTCCATCTGGATGAACGGAATGCAAATCAATTGCGTTCCTATGACGCATTGCGAAAAAGTTGCCGAAATCAGTTCGAAGGTTTTGTATTGCACGCAATTCAAACACTTCAGTATCACTTTGTAATTTTTGTGAGCATATAGAATCTAGAAAAGTTCGAGAAAAACTCCTAAACTTTGGAAGAATGCCGACATCTGCAAAAGAGAAATGTTTCAGAATTTCTACAATATTCTTAAGCTTATGGATTTATGTGAAACATACTGAGATTATTAAGATTTGGGCCATCTACATGTAGTACATGTTCTCCATCATCTAACAAACATAGATTTCCACCTGTATAATAATAATCATAGCTGCCGTGGAAGTACGGATCAGGATCACACTCTAGACGTTTTGCCAGTTCAAAAAATGAGTTATGATAACTGTTTTCCCTTTCATTGGTTTTAAATTTCTTATCTATCGAATATAAGATGTGAGTATGTATATAAATCCATAAATGTTTGTGATATTGTGCCTTACTGTTCTGTAATGTTTGGTAACGAGTTCGTGATGTATGCAAACGTTTGCGATATATCTCACGCGCCATTGTGCGCCGATGACATAAATCCACACTTTCGCAATGTTTGTTAGAAATGTAGATAGGACAAGGCATGGAAACTGTGCAGTTTAAATGAAGATTTAACTCTTCGATGTTATCAATTGATAATTTGCCAACATTAAAGGCGGGAAATAGACAATGCTTTTCTCGCAACTTTAAATCGTCCGAATTATGGAGGAGCAATTTATCTAAGGAATTGCCAGGAGTATTCCTTGATGTACTCGGTTGAGAGGTGGCCGGTGTGATTTTCTTAGCAGAATCACATGTTTCATCCTAAAATAATATTAATTAATATTTTGCAGTGAGAGTTTGTAATAACATTTTACTAGTGATAGAACTTTTGAGTCTTTTGCTTGAATTTTCCGTTTATATGGTCTGGTCGGCATTTTTAACTTTTATGTCTACACACCAAACACTTTATAATTTCATTACAAAAAGTAAACAAGTATAACCAAGATGTCTGGAAACAAAAAAAAAATTGATATTACAAATGTTGTACCCATCAACATAACATATTCCCAGTACAATAAAAGACACAGCTGATCAGAACCATTACACCATGGTCAGACCAAAACCGCAAACACCTTGAAAACGAGTTTTGTGGATTGTGAGCTCAAAATATTCGCACCAACTATAGAGGCTAACTGAAATAAATTTAAAACAGAACTCCACTGGCTAAAGCCAGTGGGCCCATGTTAATGGTTAGAATTTTGCCAACAAAATCAAAAGAACGGAAAACAACTTGAAGCAAGTTAATGTATTATTAAAAAGTTTACGAATTTTGTCGTGTGGCCTCTTGTAATCATCTCATCGGTTTTTTGTAATAATTCATTCCACTTATCGATAATAATTTTATTCCTTCCAACACACCACTAACTTCAAAACAAGTCAGCTGTTACGTGAATAAAATTGAAAAAAAAAAAAACGTATGAGTATTGGGATACCTAAGGTACACGCTAATTCATAGGATATGCGTTTATTTTCTTTAAGTACTCGCGTCGCGAATTTACGTAGGCGTATCAATGATAAGTTAACATTACCTGATCGATTTAAAGGCACTGTAGTTGAAAAATGGGCACAATATTGGCGCGGCCTCGCTAGTGACTATACTGACGTAGTTGTCGATGTTGTAAAGGGTGCACGCGCAAAACCACGAAAAGCACTCTTTATAGCTGGAACGTCTTACGGATTGTATAAATGCGCCCAGCATAATCCTGATGAAGAAGCCTTTATGCATTCTTTACGTGGCTGGAGTAATCAAATGTCCATGGTGTCAAATTCGTTGCACAATCCCGTTTCAGAGGAGTATCTTCGAGATCTCGAAATAGCTATCAACGAAAAAAAATTACGTACGCTTTCACTAGGCATATGTACAATATTATGGAAGGACTTGTATGATATAGAAGACTGCACCTATCCAGCAATTTGTAAATACACACAGGTCGATTATACAAATTTTTGGAATCAAATAGTGGACGTTGGTTTTTGGGATCACTATTGGCGACTTGAGTGGAAAATGCGCAATTTTGATGTTAACTATTTATAGATATATCTAGGGTTTAAGTAATAGTGTTTCCTATTAATTAAACAAAAAATAACGAAGTGTACAAAACGCAATATTGTAAATAAGCATTGGTTTTATTTCATAATAAAAAATAAATTCCTACTAATTTATTCTTTATTTTTTTCACCATTGAAGTATTTCTCTAATAAAGCATTACAATCTGGAATTTTGCTTCCATTGTTAAATTTGCCTTGAAAATTAGTTTCGCGTCCATTTCCTTTACCTTCTAACAATTCCAAAAATATTGGTCCAAACTTCTGCACATCGCCCCTATCTCCTCTTAGTACCATAAGGCCTTTACCGTTATTAGATGTACTTTCGGAAACAGTTAGAAAGTAGAAAATACCCTCTGGTGCATTTCGCAAAAATGTATTTATGAAATCTGGTTCAATGCCATCCTTCCTATGGAGGCAATAATACTTTGGATAGGGTCGAGGTGTGTTTTCCAATTTCTCAGCTTCTGAGATGGCAACATCCTTGAGTAATTTTTGAAATGCCTTCGTAGATGATTTTAAATTAGATTGAAGTTTTTGTAACAATTCCAAATGTTGAGTTGGACCACCTCTGGTTATGCAGTTCATGAAAGAAATAAAAAACATTATTTGACATTAATGAACAAGGAATAAAAATTTACTTTAAAGCTAAATTCATTTGTTGTTCCCGTTGAAAAATTTCTCCAAGTTTTCGTAGGACTCGTTCTCCTACCACGAAGTGCACATTCACAGCACTTTTAACTTTTTCGGCATATAACAATTTAACACTTTGCAATTGGGACAAGTTACTAACATGTGTACCGCAGCACATGTTACTCTCAATTCCTTCAATGCGTACAACACGAGCAAGGCCGACATGATCCTTTGGTAAGCCCCGAGGGGCACGTGCGTCTGCGAACTTTATATCAAAAATTGTCCCGTGGGGCATTACTCATATATATATATATTAACTATATACCTCTATCGCGATTTCAGGATCCACCAGTTCAACTGTGACTGCACGAGCCTCACGTATTAACTCATTAGCCTTACGTTCAATAGTATCTAATGACTCACGGCTAATGAGATGTGTTGTATCTAATTCTATGTAAGAAGTGTCGGAACCTAGCCACCAGGATGTAGTATCATATTTAAATTCTCGATCAAATAGAGCTGTTATCAGATGTTGACCCGAGTGCTGTTGCATGTTATCCAAACGACGGTTCCAATCTAGAGACTGCTTAACTACATTCCCTTCCTCAAACCCCGAAGAGCTTTCAACAAAATGAATTGCTTCAGTTCCTTTACGAATTACGGAACGAACTGGTTGACCATCGAGCTGCCCATAATCACAAGGTTGGCCCCCACCCTCGGGGAAAAGGATTGTATCTTCGCAAATTACATTGAACCCTTGCAATTTCCTTGTACTTGTTTCACCAGGTGGTGTCCATTCCAATGTTGCCGGCTCACAAGACAATACTTTGGATGAGAACTAGAAATTGTGTATGAAATATCTTCATTTTCAATTAAAAAAGTTTTTTTTTTATAAAATTACTTGTCTTAAAAAACTATCTTCTTGACATTTGAAAACCATTTCCTGATTCTTGAATGCGATGCTTTGTCGAAATTTTTCTGAATTATGCAAAAATACTTGGCAGTGGTTGTAAAATAGGAAAACAAACACTATTTCGCAAATCAGCTGACATATTAAGAAATCGTGACGTGGCGGCTACACTATTGAAATATGTCACAACTATAAAATAATAAATTTTATTAAAAATTTTTCTTACATACATATAAATTTTATGTCACTAAGCTTGTTTTTGAATAAATCAATAATTTAAGGATGGCTTGCAATGAAGGAAAACAGTTCAAAAACAAAGCACCGGAATGTGACAAATTGGACTGTTGGTGTTTTCCGGAACCATATGCCGAACAAAAGGTAACAGTCAAAAATAAAAAATATTGCTGGCTATATCCTCAAGGCGATGCAAAGAAGTTAAACCAAATCAAACCAAATTTTGAACATTGTGAAACTCTTTATACATTATGTGACTACAGACTGGAAAATTACGTATTTAAGCAATTACTACTGATCGAAATTCAAATACGGAATTATGCAAAAAAATTAGCTAAGGAAATGCGTTTTCAACGTAAAATATTAGAAGATATGTGGCGATTGTCGGAAAAGTTTTTACTATTATCGCAGTAAGTTTTGTGCCTTTATCAATTTTCATACCTCCTTCGGTCCGATATCGAAAACCTTGAATAGAAGTTTTGTGGATTGTGGGTTAAAAGGTATACGCAACGACGTACAGACTGCAATTTCAATAAGTGGAATGTGAGTTTTCAACAAAAACTGGTTTTTAACGGGTTTTCGTTTGTTGAATTTTAATGGTGAAAACACAAGTTTTAGCACGAAAACCACTTTTTGGTATGAAAAACTGTTTTCGTTGTCGGTCGGTATTAAGGAAACTTTCACTCAGTTAGACCCTATACGATCGACATTTTTTCATATTCAAAATCACTTTTTCAGGTACTCATGCTGTGTAAAAACATATCCTGAGATTGTATCTTTACCGGCAGAAAACTATGTGAGGTGTAAATTTCAAAAAAAATTGAAGGCGATAAATTTATCAATGTAAGTACAAATCTTGATCCTTAACCCCGCTTATTTTATCAGATAATACTGCCATTCTGTAATGGCTGGAGTCGTTTTAGGACCTGATTAGGCCTTAAGATACATAGGCTGTGGACTACACGCATTACTTGAACCCATGTTGCCAGCGCTCAACTGCGCCCCAGGCCTTTACGGCAGTGCCTTTTGCACCTAACCACTTTTGGTGATCACCAAGACCTCCCTCCGACTCCAAATATTCCCCTTAACTTACACCTCACCCACGCTAAGCTGCACTCCGCACCGCAACCACTTTTAGACGTCTCATCAATGACGACATCGACCATAGGGATTTGCCCTAGAATATCAGAGGATAGCTATCCAGGCAATGTCGTACACGATATATTTACGAACTTATTCCGTCAGTGCCGTTGGATTTGGAGGCTTGGAGGCATGAAGTTACGGCTGCTCCAATTGAGACCCAGAGTATTAGACCGACGCAGATGATAAGCTAATCAAGCAACTCGTGACAGAAAACTTCCTGATGTCGCTGACATCATTTGTACAGCGAAAAATCTATACCATGCGACGTGACCACCTGGGCACATCAGGAAAGGTGTACGCGACCATTGAACCCTTGTAGAATTAAAACTTGAGGTTTCTACTCAGCTTAATTCCTACTTATCGATACTTGTCTCCGACATACAATACGCTTGGCGCTAACTTACGCAACTAACCCCCCTTGTCCTCTGCTCTGAACCTGGGGAAACAGCTCGTTTCCTGGATCTTCCTTTTGATGACAACGACGAAACAAATTAGTCTCGCCGGCTTCTGAATGGGTTTGATAGCTGCTACAACAGCAATACCAGAAACTTAATATTTTAGGAAAAAATTATTTTTTTTTCCAGTTGCCGCCTTGTTTCGTCCTTAGATGCAATTCGAACATCTATTAGAAAATTGAATACGGTATGTGCTCAAATGGATATGACTGTACAAAGTCCATTTATGCTCGGGGATCATAACATTCGTCCTTTATCGTACTATCGGAAGTTAGTTGATGATACATTTGAATATTTCCATGATATGCTGTGCAGCTTAAAAAGTTGGACCCAATTACTTGATGTCGGCGATGCAAATACCATTCACGATTTCCACGGCATTTTAGACCCAGCAAAAAAATATTCTGAATTCATGAACATTGGAAAAGTCGATTGTACGTGCATGCGAACAAGAAACACAGAGGGCATTATGAATTTTGTTAATAAATGCAATTAATTGCGTACCACGTTGATTGTCAATAAAATAACTTTTATCTGAACATATTTTTCAATTATAATAAATCGATGCTATACTTGGCTTGCACCATATCAAAAACGATGTTGTTGGAATAGACGGTAGGTATGTCTCAATTGCTCAGATGTACGCACTTTCTCAACTCTAACCAGTAGCATTTAGTACACAATATGAGCTCCGGGGCAACGAAGAGCTTCTGTCAACAAACACCCACTCTCGACTACTACTTTTGATCTCTGGGAACTTTCGCCAACAACTCAAGATCAGACAGCCATGGAACGTCGCTTCCAACTTTTAGTTATCCAAAGAAATAATTTGTTTTATTACATGTCCAAAGAGTGATGAGGAGTGCCGTAGTTAATTCAACTCACACTGCACCTTCGTTGTGTCTACTCTTGGTAGCAGCAGTAATAACCGTGTGGTTTGCATTGCGTACTAATATTCGAAAGGCCAGTATTCGAGTCCTTGCCTTATCAAAAACATCGAAATTATAAAATGATAATTTTGCTTATTGGGGTCGCTCCTCGCGGGGAATATCAAGTATGTATTTCTGAGCAGTATACCGACAAGCTTTAAACTCCATTCACCGAGAGTCTGACAGGACCATCGTAAGCACCCTGTTGTTGCTGTTGCAGCAGCTTTGTCAAACCTCGCTTAGGAATAGGCAAGTCAGTTTAAGTCATCGAGGTCATCTAACGGGAGGTCCAGTAAAAGGAGCTAGTTAGACGGGTTCGGACCACAGAGAGTTGACCCGGGTTTTATCCGGCCAAGAGCAGTCAACCTTTCGGCGATCTAACAACGTTTTGGTCAACAGGTAAGATCGTTAGCCCTCTCTGCGAATGGTGATCTCTGAATCCAATGTACCAAATGGTAACTCTTTGTCGCGCGATTTTCGACGGACCACCTTCCACAGAGCCAGACGCCTCCGATCGGCTGATGTATTTTTATAGCCATCTTATAGTTTTTCCTTTCCATGGCGAGCTCTTGCGACCGCAATTATGTTTCAAACCAGATTGAGTCTGTTAAACATCACATCTTGTACAATCGGCAACCACTTGTCATTCTTATAGTCCATATATCTATTAAAAAAGTCGGTTTAGTCCGGCATCCATTTGTGATATTAGAACTTTTTCGTATATCTGGTAGCACTTATAACCTAAAAACAATTTACAAAATCAACAAATATATTTTCGTAAAATTTACTGCAGCTTTTGTTTCTATTATCATTTATTGCGATTTACTTAACGACTTATCATATTTAAGCAATGAGTGACGACATTGATATACATTTACAAGAACATTATCAAAAAGAAGAGGAGACACTGCGACAGCTGCTGAAATTAGAGGAATTGTTTCGGGATCACTTGGTCCTCACAAAGCGCGAAATGGCTTTGCAAAAAGAGTTAGTAAATCGATTGTGGGTTCTATCTCAGCGCTATGTTATTCTAATCAGTACAACGGGGTGTTGTAAGCACCCGGAAGTCTATTCTGGCCCCACCGAAGATATCTTACTTAGAGAATATTCAGATAAATTAAATCTTTTGCGCACATCCAAGTAAGTTTTATAGATTGCTTTGTAGATAAGTGCATTTAAAAATGTATTATTTAGTTGTCGTATTTCAGATTCTCTTCGAAAACTTCGACAAAATTGTATCGCTTTCAATGCTCTTCACAGCCACTTGGATATGACTTTAGGGACTCCATTCATAACGGGTGATACATTTCATAAACCTATAGGATTTTTTATCGAGCTTGTAGATGATTTGTTCAAGTATTTTCACGCTTTGCAATTGAAACTAAAATATCTGAGCCATCAGTTAGACCCAGTGGATTTAATGGTACTTGAGGAATATAAAGTAGCTTTGGAACCAAGCGAGGACTTCGAGGAATACTTACACACAGGATTGAGTTACTGCAAATGTTTACGTCCTAAGAAACTTTGTCAATAGCCAAATTTGTATATTCTTGTATTTAATTGTGATATTAATGAATAAATATTCAGAGATTTCGAATGTATGCATATATACATAGAATACTTAGAATATCTTTTCCGTAGAACACACACTTTATAGCCGCATTGAGCTGTTAACAAAACATCTTTGATGTTAAATTTACTACCTTATATTTCCACAATCTACAAATAAATTTTTTTTTTGTTTTATTATTGAAAAACCTGTTTATTCATTGCATTACTATTTGGTATATACATTTAATTTTTTCATAACTGCATTCCGTACGCCTGTAATTAAAAAGATACTATTTAAAAAAAAATTCACAAAATGTTTAAATAACAACTCACCAGCTGAAATGAATAAATTGGCTTTTCCACCCATCGTTTCTAGCGAAGTCTTCTCGCTTCACGTTCAGACTCCAGCAGAGTGAGGATATCACCTTCGCGAACGGGTCCCTTGACGTTGCGGATGATTTGACGGTTTTGTTCACCGATGAATTCCACTTTCACTTGTGTACATTGACCCTGGGATCCAGTACGGCCCAAGACTTTCATTACGCGTGCCCAAACAACTGGTTTATCCATATTTATTTATCAAATTGTTATTTTTCGCGAAAAATTCACGTGTAACAACCGCACAAAGTGACAGCCGGAAGCAAAAGAAAGATGTATCGCTTATTTTCGATAAATTTGGTCGAATATTTACTAGCTCTAGCATGGCTTAACGGCAGCCAGCTTCATGTTGTATTCATGTTTAGGTGGTCACACACTCTCTGTGTAAGTAATTTTCGAAGCAGCGGAATTAATTTTTTTGGCAATTTTTGTATGCGAATAACGGTTTTAAAATCAACCCAATCAAATTTTCGGCTGTGAACTAATTAAATAGCTAATTTTATAAATATTATTTTACAATGCATAGAACTGAAATTATTATATTTACTCATAAGATATTTTTGAAACATTTTGTGACAAGTTTAAAGGTATGAGGCGGTTATTTCATAAATTTAAAAATTTGTAAGATTTCTTTCATCGGTTGTCAAAATAACTCTGCGCTTAAAAGTTAAATACAGCCACGAATAATAACTGGATTGATGAACGAAATGGATCCAGTGATCTTAGCTGTGTGCTTAAACTGTATATGTACGCTAAGTTTTCCTACTTTGCAGGCCATGTAGTGGCTTTACCTATGTCAAACCGATTTTTATTTGAATGTATTTGAGGTCTATGGTTATTATAATTAGATGTCTTCGAAAATGTTTTTATATATCGGGGAATTTCGAAATTTTAAAAAGTTAATTTTTAAAAATGTGCACACCGAATTCAAAAAGCTGGTACCGTTGGAGTGTAAGTAAAATTACATAAAAGTATATATTTCTTTACTATTGGAAGATCACTTTTGGAAAAAAATCAATTTAAAAAAACACTATTTCTGTTAATGTAAAAGCCAGTTTTTCTTACAGTTATGAGTTACTTAATGCAAACTAAACCTCCAATAATATAAAGAAGATAATTTCGAGGAAGATATAGAATTACCCTTCTTTATGAGATTGAATAATAGAAGTAAAAGAAGAATTACCTAAAATATTTTTTCATTAAGACAATAAACTGACCTTTTTTGTAGACATGCTTAAAAAAATAACTCTGCTCAGTTTATAGCGCTATTTAAAATATCTCATTTCAAATTCAAAGTATGATTATAGTATTGCTTAGTACACGGTTAATTACATATAATTTTAAGAAGAACTTGTTTAATTTTTATAAAAAAGTGGTATTATACAAAAGAATATATGTATATCAATAAAAGGAATTAATTTTTCCTTTCTAACGAAAATAACTTTTTCATTTTTCATGTACAATTTTTTGCATAAAGCCTTTTAAAATATTCTGAAATTCCCCTTTTCTGATTATTGTTTCACAGTTTTGCCTTTGACACGGCACTACGGTTTCCAAACGCTTCCCACTGTCATATTTTTGCTGTTAAGAGCCGCTCCACGTAATAGTAACGTACCCTTCAGATTTTGACAGGTGAAAGTTGGCCGATGTTTTTCGTGTGTAGATCGTCGTTGTTCGGTTGGTTGATTTCTTTGCTGTTAAACATTTTCTATCTCTCTGTCAAACGTATTCATTGGCTGTGTATGCCGCATCACTTCCAATTAGGATTTAAATAGGTGTTTTGTCACGGAAAAAGGAAAAATGAAAAGCAATATATTAATCTTGTTATTGGTACTGCCAGCATTAATTTGCACCTTCAATGCACGTAAGTATTATTCAAAAAACATAAGTAAATTGCATTTTAATTATCGGAGTGTGCGGTGAGGGAAGTCATCGACGTGGCAGCAGACGATTGCGTGCCGAGGTTTGGTTTACCAAACATCACACTACTCAAGTATGAAATATTTGTGTAATACACAGTTGAGACAAGATATCATTATTTCTTTATATAATTATAGAAATACGATAAATTGCTTCCCACTTAAAAAACTTTTACTTTTCCAGAGCATAAGTTTGTTGCATTTGCTGATGGTTCTGCGGAGGATGACCTCGTCGATGTGGAGGGCGAGGATGGCGCGGTGACAGGTGATGATGTTGAGACTGAAGAAGATTCTGATTCTACAGCAACAACATCTCCCTATGCTGACACGTATTTACTGTTCACGAAGCCATTGTATACAGCTGGACAACAATTGGATTTACCTGGTGGAAAACCTGTAGAATTCCTTATCGGTTTCACAAATAAAGGCAAAAGCGAATTTGTTATTGAGACTGTGGAGGCGTCCTTCCGTTATCCAATGGACTTCAATTACCACATTCAAAACTTCTCAGCTGTCGCATACAACCGTGAGGTGAAATCTGGTTCAGAAGCTACCGTTGCGTATTCATTTTTGCCATCAGACACTTTCGCTGGACGTCCTTTTGGTTTAAACATTGCATTGAATTATCGTGATTCTGCTGGAGCTCAATTTAGCGAAGCCGTTTTCAATGAAACAGTATTGATTTCCGAAATCGACGAAGGCTTGGATGGTGAAACATTCTTCCTGTATGTGCTATTGGCAGGTATTGTTGTGCTTATTCTGGTCATAGGTCAGCAATATCTATTGGGTTCATCCGGTAAAAGGAAGCGTGCTGCCGCTAAAAAGACCATTGAAACTGGTACGGCTAATGATAGTAACATCGAATATGAGTGGTTACCACAAGAAACATTGCGAGTACTACGTAAGTTATATATATATATATATTTGTATATTTGTGTATATAACGATTATCATTTTTTACAGAACAATCACCACCCAAATCAAAGACACCTAAAACCTCGCCGAAACCAGGAAAACAGAGCAGCCCAAAGCAGGGTCAAAGCCCCAAGCAACGTAAAGTGAAACGCACAGCGGGTGACGATTAGACGATTGTTACTATATCATAGTAAAAATAACGAAACAAATCACCTCAAATGTAAACACATAATTGCATTACGTACGCGTTCTAAAATCATTTTTTTTTTATTATTAATACATTGTTTTCTTTATTTTATGTGCGACATTTGAGAATTATTAGTTTTTGATAACTAAAAGTTATTTTTAAGTCTGAATAGTACTCTAAAATTCATCTAATTACTGTCGAAGTTGTTGGTGTGCGTCGCGATGCGCAGATATGTTGGTGATATATTTGTTTTATATTTTTTTAAAACGTGCCAAATTCAAGTGTTGCTACGCCACCAATCAATTCCGATTTGAATTGCAACCTATGCATGTGTTAGCAAGAAATTTTTGTAGAGTTTTTTTTTCTACAAGTCCCGTATTTTGCAGAGACCACCACCAGCTCAGCGTTTTTGGTTTCGTATTCGATATTTAGTTCAAGCACAGACAAAAGTGTCGAATTTTTCTATTTGTGTTTAGAAAACGTTTATTAACGAAACTAATTTATAAAACAATAAAAAATTTCTAAAAAATACGAACATATTTGTTTCAGTTATTGGTGAATATGGTTAGGCAATAATCTGTAAATTAATTTAGTTGTAATTAGAAAACTTGCTAAAAATAAAAGAAGTCGGAAAGATTTAATAAGTAGAGAATATAAATTGAGTATTCAATGAAAGCAGTAATTCCTAATAATAATTTCATCCCCTAACCCGTAGACGCTAGCGACCCCGCAGACAAAGTGAATCTAGGGTTGTTGGAGCAGAATTTAGTTGGGAGGTGATTAGTGTCATGCGGTAATCAGTACACAATTTAAGTATGTCGAAGTCAAGTTCGAATGGGTATTGTGCTAGACACAGCTCGAGCTCTTCTTCTTGTATGAGTGCTTGCTCGATTCTGACAAATTATAAAGGTGTTTGCAGGCTCTAAGTAAATGGCATTTAGGATCGTTGGTATGTCGTTGTTGTTGTAACCGCAAAATTATTCACCAAAGTACTTTTTGGGGAATGTTGCGGGAGTGACAGTCCTTGGCCGGATAAAAATCCGGGTCGTTCCGGTATAAGGACAAGACTGTCGCGGGAACTATTGGATTTTAGTCGCCTCTTACGACAGGCATGCCTTACCGCGGGTAAATTCCTGAGCCTCTAACCCGCAGGGGGTGTTGGTATGTCGTCCTGCTCAGCGGTTCTGTTCCTAATTTACCTATTGGCTTCGAGTAAATGTCTGTTAGGGTGGTCCCTACGGTACATGATACCCTTAATTGGGAGCATAAGTGTTTCACTGTGAAAGTAACTTTTCTGTAGCGCTACGAATGTGACTTCCGAAAAATCGAGGGTATTTACGGACGGAATATGACTTTCATATTTAGTTCGAGCCGATACTCATTCGTCCATGTAATTAAAAAGGTTTCAGAGAACTTTCCAGTTTTTGTAGTTGTAGTTGTAGAATTTTTTTCGTAATTCGGAATTAATGGTCACCCTTTTCGGTAAAGAAATTCAGATTAGCAGATTCAGTGCAACCAAACTTACACACAGGTTCGGTTTCGGTTGAGATCATATCTGGGTGTTTATGGTGTGCACTTATGTGTTATTGTGCTTAGGTGAAGAGTCAAAGACGAGGTGCAGCTAGATCTCAAGTGTAAATCCTCGAAATTGAGGAAAGGTGAGGTGAGGCCGATTTGATACTCCTTTACTCATGGGAATCACTCTACACTGTATCCTCATGTTGGATTGTTAACCATGGTGTGGAATTTTACTCCCGCTGGACCGAGACATTTTTATATTAGCTTGTTTATTTCCATGAGACCGATGGACTTGACCCAGCTGCAGAAATATTCCATCTCACCAGGGTATGGGCCTTAGTCTGATGCGTAAAACCAGCTGTCGTGAGAGTCGACCGTTTGAAGCTTCTTCAGCTGCGTTTCTCTACTTTCTGGGGTTGTGGAGTTGTCACAATTTTTTTAATTCTGATTCAGAACTTTGAGTCATTAGAAAGTTGAGATTGGAAAAAACTCGTTATTTATTCAAAAATTTGGGATCAAAAGAGAGCCTCATCCTAATTGCTACCAGTCTACTCGCTCTTAAAAGCTAGGGTTGCCATCTTACTACTACTCTTACAAATAATGAAGCGCTTAGGCTATGACTTTAAACTAAACTCGCAAAGAACGTGCACACGTATATCTGCTCTTAAGCCTTACCGGCTCCTACAAGTCGGTTAGAGATCATATGTTCCGCCAGCTTCTTTCCTCCACAGTACCGAAGAAATGCCTCTCTCACGGTAAAGCCCCAAAAACCGGATGACTTTCGTTTTTGAATAATACTCTATGTGAAGACGGAAGAGGGAATGAAATATTTCGATCTTCAAATTGCCTCACATGACAGTTTTAACTTGAGCAATATGAAAGATAACTTTTCCTTCATCCCTTAAAGTTCATTGCAATTTAATTATAGCAGAAGAACAAACAGGGTGGGGTACCACGACTTGCTGAGTGACCGACACTGTCTGGGTCTGTGGTTATTGGAACCGCGATCGCCATCGGTATCGGTTTCAGGACAATGCGTATGGCTTTGGTCACCCATATGTTGAAATTTAGGTTTATTCTGTAGACGTGCCGTGACAGGTAACGCTGAATTTGTCCCCAAAACAAAAAGGTAAAAAATACTTCTATTACTGTAGGTTGTGCAGAATAACCAAAGTTGTTCAGTCAGTCCTGCCTAAATTGAACTCGCAACAGAAGTAATTGCAGCAAAGGGTAGACACTAGTCTTCGTATATTGTTGTTGTTATTGTAGGGGTTTACCAACGCCGCTTAGGAAAATGATACATCACTCTAAGTCATCGAGGTCATCTGACGGGAGCTTCAGGAAACGAGTTGCTTCAAACGGGTTTGGCAAAGAGTGAAAGCGGGGTTAGATAATTTTAGGAGTCGTGCAAAAAAGTGTGCTGCGATGACTCATTGCACGCACGACTTACCATGGGTATGTCGTCTCCGAGTCGGGCTATTAGGACTTTAGTTTCGTGGTTTGACACCGAGAACTCCATTTACAGAAAGAGAGTTCACGAAGGTATTGACGGACTCTCGGTGAATGGCGTTTAGTGCCTGTCTGTACGTTGTACTACTCAGCGGTTGTTGTAGGTGGGGGTGAAAGCAACCCTTTAGGTTAAGTACATCCTCTCTGATGTGCCTGGATGGTGGTCCGGCTTCCAATAAATAACTGTTGCGGTGCTCCTCACGATAGCATCTCAACAGAAATTGCTCGCACAGCAAGGGGACTAACGAGACGCAGTTGAAGAAGTTACTAGCCTCCAAAAAAACCGCCCTCAGGACCATGAAATGAAACCTAAGCACTGGTATTGTTGCGCACACTGCTATCCACACCGGTACACGAGTCATACAGTGTCGTAAGTGCTTATGACAATTAAAACATCTGCTGGTATTCGACTGAAAGAGGGTAATAAGTGCTGTATTTGAAAATGAGTGCAATTAGGTAATAATGGCAATGAGCTTTAACTGACCATTGAAAGTACCCATTTCTATAGTTCATATTTTCATTTCTAAATATTCAAGTGGCAATGGTTTACATATTATCGTTTGGTTAATGAAGCATTAAAAATGATTATTACATGAGCTGGCAAAGTGTTTTGAATCACAAAAAAAAAAAAATAAAATTTTAAATTGCTAGAGCCCTTTTTACAGAAGGCAAAGCAGCCTTCATGATTTCCACCACAGGGAAATTTAAATAAAATTCACTTGCTCAATAGCATGACTGTTAAGCGTGAGCGACGCATTCACTGTTATTACTTTAGACTTTACTTTTGTTTTATTTTTATGCCAAATTGGTAAATGAGGTGAAAATCCACTGTACTAAGGGACTTTAAGGATGAACTAAACCTATTTTTCCCCTTTTCAAGAAGTTTAATGCTTGCAAAAGCTCAATAATCAATTTGCCGTTATTAAGCTTTTCATAGCTTTTCTTCGCCATTAATGTTGTAGCTTTAAAGCTGTCTTTGCGTAAGCTCAGTTGGAGTAAGCTTGAGCGCAGTGTACATAATTGAGTGAACACATGTAAGCGAGAGAGACATTTGAGCAATTTTAAAATTTATTTATTATGTGTGATATACATACAATGAAGCGTGAGCGCATTTAAATACATACATATGATGCAAAGAAAAAACCACTATGCTGCTAGTATTGTATATAACTGCTTTGTATTCGTACATACTCGTATATATATTTGGTAGCATATCCGCTTTAATTACTTGTGTGCAGGATTTTCTGTATACACACATAAATAAAACACGAGCTACAACAACTTGTTGGTTCTAAGTTCGCGGGAAGGACAACAAACATTATGAAATCGAATCGACATTACAAATATTTATTTATGTCGAGAGTTTGTTAATAATTGAAAAAAAAAAAAAATAATTAACTTAACTTTCAAAGGACACTTATTCTTCTTCTTCTTCATTGGAGTGAAGGTCTTCTGCTTCCGCTGGTGGGTACTGCATCGAATGCATTCAAAGCGTAGTCGTTGTCTCTTCATTCGCCTTAGAGCTCGTACAGTTCATCGTTCCATCATCTTATTATTCGCAAAAATTTTGTCTTTTTTCAAAGGCAGACTCATCAGATATTGTCTTCGTCCAAGCTTCCGCACCGTATAGCAGGACGGGAACGATGAGTGACTTGTGGAGTTTGATTTTGGCTCTTGGAGAAAGGCCTACTCAGTCCAAAAAAGGCAGCTGTTGTTGGCAAGAGTGATTCTGCGTTGGATTTCAAGGCTTACATTATTATTGGTATTAATGCTGGTCCCAACACAGACGAAATTATCTACGACTCCAAAGTTATGACATTCAACAGTGACTTGGGAGCCTAGACGCAAGTATGAGATATTTTCTCTTGTCCTCTTTCTCTTTCTTCTCTTTCTTTCTTTGTTAAGAGAAGGCAGATTGTTAAGACCTATGATATCCATGTCACCACCATATGTCAGTGGTTGTATAGCCGTATAAGTTTAACAGGAATAAAAAATTCAGATATAGCGGCGTAGCGGTAGCTTAGCCCATGGTGAATGGTGGACTTTTGTCTTTCAAACAGTACGCTCGATAAGACAGTCTAATCCTATGGAAATTGGCGTAGATTTTGGGATTGCCGTTTTTGTGGATTTGACAATAGCTATTCTAAGCTCGACATGGTCTCCGAGTGGAACGTCTTTTCCCCTCATTATTGATTGGAGTTTTGGGTGTGCCATGTCTAGGGGCTTACCAGCTCTGGACATCGGTCATCAGGTTACCACAAATCCGTCCATTTTTCTGTTTGCTTAGTCTGCTTTCTTTTCACTACAGTGCGACATTCCACATCTCACTGGCTCTTTTTCTGGCACTGCGAAAAACCAACTTTCTCTGTAGCGGAGCCACAGTAGGAAGTTTGAGCCGTTTCACAGTTCCCTATATATCGAGTCGCCGATTAGTGCTCTCAAAAAGCAGGTGTAAAAGTCGAGAAGAGGGCCGCTCAGTATTTTGTTGTGATTGC